AACACCAAGGTCATTCTTGAATGACGTATCACTGGGAAACAGCTGAACTAATTTCTGCAGAGTAATCAGGGAACCCCTCATGCGACCTGATTTGATTGAACAAGACTTAATTACAACTGCAGATATGAGTAACAGTAGCAAGGCATTTACACAACATCTAAGAAAACACAAATCAGAGCCAAGTGCTCCCTTTCACTAACGATCAAGAAGGAGAAGTTGAAAAAGCTTGTGCAGCTACGAGCACATTCACCTGCTTGCTTGTCACTGGGGTTTAGCAACACCAGGAGTATTTCAGGGAATCATTGCAAGTGCACATCACGCAGTGTTATGGTAGCCTCTTGTGGAGAACCCTTTACAGTGCAGCAGTAACATTATTTAAGCTTTGATTGCTTTATCGTACACAGATATCAAAGCACTCAACATAATTAAGTAAAGATATAATAATAAACTTAATCTTAATTAAGAAATTAAATGCATTTCTAGCATTAAGTAATAGTTCTACTTTACTTCCATTACTTATCATGGAAATTTATTATGCTTTATGTGCTTAAAATTAAGTATGTTCCTCAGCTTCCTAGAAGAGGTCTTGCAAAGGAACAGAAAGAACAAAATAAGTTGATATTAAAAATCCAACCCATGAGAACAGAACTCTTTACTGTAAAGTTGATTGTGCCTTATATTCTAATCAGCATTTCTCATATATCACGAATTGAGATCAAAACCTACAATCTACACCAATGTTATCTCCAAGTTCACTTCCACTCTTCTCTGTTTACTGAAAGTTTATTCAGGATATGTTTACTCTGCTTATGCCATTAATTCCCTCTTGATTTTCTTCAGCTTCAGTAGAAAAGGAAGACTTTCTTCTTTCCTTGTCAGTAAAAACTGACACTTCTCATCATATCTTCTCGTAGCATTTACTGCAGCTTTTTACAGGCACTATTATCCTACAAGCAAATTATAGACACCAGTTTCCTAGAAAAAATTTAAATAACTTTTTTTTCTTTAGCATTTCAGATATTAGGAGGACAAGGCCTACGAAAAATTCAATGGAATTGGCATTTTAAGTCCTTAGTGATCCCTTGAAAGTCTTGCTCACACAACTTCCATAATTTTTACACCACCCTCAAAACTTACCAAGGAACTGCTGCCTGTCTGCTTCTCGTTTCAAGCTGAGCTTTATCAGATCTGAAGGGACATTTGGCAGACTAACCACCTCATCGTAGGTGTTGATAGCTTGTTGCAGCATCTCATTGCTTCTCATTTTCTCAGCTAAGTCATCTTCAGACTAGGAAGAATCACAAAACCATAATTAGAACACATAATAATTCGTTAGTCTTAAAAATAACTGGGAAGACACATTAGAATTATCTAATGTTCTTGTTTCCTACAAATTGTTTGAAAGCAGAAGTACAAGAAAACTTGCACCTAATGTAAACATACATTACCACAGATTTTTGATTAATATTTGTAGAATTCATAATTTATGCTTTCAAAAATACATGAAGCAATCTCTTTAATAATATGGAAGAAATGCTAAATTTTGCCTATGGACCATTTGTATACAAAGCCTCACTCCTGCAGCAATACACAGATCAACAAACATTTCTTTCATCTATTCTGACAAATTTATTTACACTCTTTCTTAGAAAATGAATTAGGAATTGCCTTTCCTCTTGCATATGTTGATAGAATATCTACCCTACACCTCTGTCAAAACTTAAACTGGCTCATCAAATTCAGAAGCAGACCAAAGGATATATGAGCTCTCTACAGTGAAATTACAGTTTCAGTGAACCTAAGAGAAGCTATAACTGATTTCACCTGTCGTAAGGCATTTTCATAATCTGCTTCAACAGCTGAAAAAGTAAGATTATGTCTCAAATGCAGAATTTTTAAAGGTTCACTTTAAATTTTTTATATAAATGCATGAATTTTCATGTGTTTAATGCATCCTTCCCAAATACTTCTATATTTATTGGCTTATGTTCTTTTTTAAGTCAATTTGCAGAGCATGGTAAGCACTACAGGTGCAGAAGCAGCTCTTGATAGTCTATTTAAATTCACATATGCATTAAATGAAACTGCTTCAACTGTGTTTGCTGCATATGCTGTAGCAAGTACCTGGAATCTTGTTGCCCTTCTGTCCTTTAATTTTTTTTCCTTGAGTTGCTTTGAAATTGAGTATGTGAAGCACCAACCCATATGGTTACTAGGCCAAACAGTTCATCAAGCAGCCTTCAGAGATACCTCCAGAAATCAGTTTTACGCAATAATTATTTTTTCTGATGTACATTCACTAGGAAATTTGACTTTCCTTTTTTCAAGGACAAAGATTTGCTTTGCTGTGCATCAAGTGCTTGTGTGACAGTATTTTGGATATTTAGCATGACTTATTAACCAACTGAAAACTGGTTGACTCCAATTCAAGTGCCTGAGTAATTGTCTAACAGCACAATTCCTTCCTACAGTGGGGGCTTCATTTTGTTCATCTTGATTAACATGAATTCGAGTCTTTTTTATTCCTAGTGCAATAGGATTATCCTACTATTAATGAAAATTCAAAGTTTATTCTCTTCTGAGACATCCCAACACAGCTCAAAAGTATTATGAATGCAGAGTTTATTTTATGATGTATTTTGGTTGACTTTTTTTTTTAGGGGGAACACCTGAAACACAACTCCCTCCACAAAAAAAAAAAAAAAAAAAAAAAAAAA